TATTCATGACTTCACTAGTGGCAAGATCAAGTTCAGTGATAGTTTGACTGCACATCTGGAAAAGTTGGCTTTTATAGTAAAGTTACTGCAAATTAACATTTAACCTAAATATTTATATTTTATAATTACCATTCCATTAAAAATGCAATTTAATTGTTATGCTTCAATCTATTCTCTGTCTCTGGGTTAAGAATGTATTGTTTCACTCGTTATGTGAAGTCATCTAATGCTGTCTCAAGAGTTGTGGCAGGCAAATCTTTTAACTCTTCATTATTCATTAGTTTCCATTCTGGTCCTTCTAGCTCCTGGGACCATCAAGTCATCACATGCTTGCACTCTAGTATTATTGTTGGCACAGGCTTGTCAGAGCATAAGAGTTCCTGGCAAGGCACACAAAGGAGTGGTGTGTGGTGTTACAAGTACTCATTTCTGCAAATTACCATCATGTTCCTGAGTTTCGCCCTTGTTATTTATTATCCTATGGCAAGATTCTGTGTCCAACCCTGTATCACTGTAAGACTATTTTGTATGGAGCTTTCTGACATTATGCCCTTTTTTCTGGAAAGAATTATTTGCATTTTCCTTTTTTTGCTGATTTATCAGCACAATTTAGCTTTCTAGAAAAGGTGCAGGAAATAAAGGTGATAACTGCCATATGGAAAAAACTCTCTGTGACGGCTAGTTTTGCAGCAGCAGGGGCAGATTTAAATTTCTAGTGATCATTAATAAAATTCTTGTACAAGCCTAGTGCAGAAACCTAGGAAAATTAAGCTAATCTCTCTGGTCTCTCTGGTGCTCAATCAGCAGATTTCCCCCATTTGCAAACATGAATCAATTGTCTTAGAAGAAGACATTTTATTCAAGAGAGGTTATGCTGTTACCTAAGATGCTTTTTTTTTTACTTTTCTTTTTCCCCTCCAATGCATAATACTCCATTATGTGTATAATACTCCAAGTGTGTAGCTTTGTTTCACAGTCTTCTCCTTTGGAGAGGCAAGTGCTCTGGCACCTTCTGCTGGGTGACAGGCTCCTTCTTTGATCTGCTGATGAGCGTGTGGTGGGATATGCTCTCACCACTCTACTCCACCAGCTATTCTTTGCTTTATGAGGGGAGTGTAGTTTCCTGCCCTACTCTTTTGTTGGACTTACAATAACTTTGCTAGGAGTTTCTGTTACTGATTTAGCTTAGCTGATACAGTCCTCTTAAACAAACTTAACTCCTAAACCGACCTGTTGCCTTAGATGAGAGTGACTGGTTACCCAGGGATAGTTCTGCTCTTTTATTTTTCCCAGACTTCTGTACAATATTACAGTGACAAAAATTAAACATAAATGCTTCCTTGAGATAATAAAACATCCGAACACCAGAAGATCACTTGTCATTTCCAGTGGCTTCCTTTCTCTTTGCAGTACTTGGGACAACAGTGTGGCTTCATTCAGCCTTCCAACTTCCAACTTCTGGACTCCTATATGGATATGCATTCTGTATATAGTGTTGTTTCCTATTCTAATTTTGTTTTACCTTTCTAATATCCATCTGTAAGGTCAAACATACGCAGGTATTCTTCCCAAGAAGGCAGTGGAAGGATTGAAGGTTTATTTCAGAGGCAAGGACCACTTCTAAACGATGCTGCACACACCAGGCCCCAGGGAAAAAGACAATGCCCCACCTTCTCCAAGGTTTTTTGTATCTTCTCTCTCTCTCTCCTCCCCCACCCTCTCTGTCCCGAGGAGGCCTTGTACATGTCTGCAAACATATTATCTCTCTGCATATCAGGGAGAGACAGAGCTTCCTCACAGCTTCTCCCTGCAACTTTATCTGAGATGCAGAAGGAAGGAAAAAAAACATCTAACCTATTTGAGAAGGCATTTTGCAGTCTTCCTAAGCAAAACCAGTTCTAGCTTGCCATTACAAATTCTTGCACAATTGCACCTATTCCTACACCATCCTTTCTTATGGAACTCCTAGTCTTTCCCATTGAATGGCAGAGCTTATCATCTTACCATTCCCGCTTCTGTACTGACTTTCTTTAAGGGAATGCACCATTACTTCCTTAAACAGGAGCATGCTTGCTTTAACTTAAAGTACTTCAGACTGATGCCATTCATCCAGATTTTTGACTACATAACTGAAAGTTATAAAAAGAGATTCCGGTAAGAAAAAGCAGAATGGCTTTCTGTCCTGTAGAATGAAGTAAAGAAACTATGAAAAGGCTGCAAGTTTCAAATCAGCCATGAATAAACCACTTTAGACCTAAAATACAGAGGATTTTTGTTCGGTTAAAAAGACCTACACCATCTCAATGCATATGTGGGTGGACTGTGTTGTGATCTTATTTGCTTTATCACATAAACTTTTAGTTATGAATATTTTCCTGATATTTCCATATAGTTGTGCTGTATCAAATACCTTTCCAGTAAGTCTACCTTATGTCAGTTCATTTATTAACATGATTTTTTCACTACCACTTTTTAGAATTTAATGAGGTTTTTCATTTTACCTCTTTGTCCCTCTGAAAATAGAATATTGAGTGCTGGTGTTTGTTGGGTTAAGTTCATTGCATGTCCCAAATTCTCACAGGGATGATTTTAGGAAAAGTTAATTTCTTTCAATGACTTAACTTTTTCAGGATATTTCTCCTTCTCATTTGAGTGTCTTATTAAATGTCAAAGTGATGCAGAATGAGATCAACCATGATATATGTGATGCTTGAAAGAAAAGCCTCTGGACATATCCTAAAATCCAAGAATTGTTTGAGCATGAAATTTTCTCATTTTATATTTTAATAAAACCTTTATTCAAAAAGAAAATGAAGAATAATGTTCTTTTGTAATTCAAGTGTCATCAGTTTTACGCTTAAACCTGAATTCACCTCATCTCACCTTACATGGCTGAGAAATCTCTTACGTCTTCTTCATCTTTCTGTAAGCAATGAAGAAAAGTAAGGTTTTGCTTCATTGTTTCTAAGGAAATGTAAGCAATTAGGATAGTGCATACAGGCACTATAAGTCACAAAAAAGTCACAAAGGAGGGATATGAGCTGTCTTGCTTATATCACAGATCTTCATCCTAAAGTGATCTCACAGGTATAGAGATGCTTCTTGTTACTATGGAGCTTTGTACTATCGATCAGAAAAATCTACCATTTAATCTTTGAAACCTGAGTTAGGTGAACCTTGTTTCTTGCCACTACTGTTACTTCAGTGTTGCTCTTTACTTCTTTTTCTTAAGGATCAATCAAATTATGTTTGATCCAAAACCATAATAGCTTGAAAAACAAGTCCTTTGCAGTCAGCAGCCTGCAAGCAGGTAGGCTGCTGAGAGGTATTCCTCTTCATGTTGGATTTCTAACATTGAATTTTCTCTCTTTCTCAGTCAGAGGTACAGGTCCTTATTTCCACTTTCATTGTACAGTGAATGAATGATGTTCAACAGAAAAGCTGACTAGGTCCACCTGGGAGATGTTCATTCTTCTTCCCTTTTGGGAATGGTTTTGGAAAATAAAGATGACAATAAACAGCACCTCTTCATGCTATACTTTTTTCATGAAATCTAATAGAACATCAGTTGCTATAATAAAAATATTTTACCTTAGAATGATCTGGCAGCAGAAGGTCCTAAAAAATATTCTGTAGCTCCTGACCGGTGAAGAGGAAGAATCTTCTATTTAAATGGTATAATGTAAACTGTCCAGTTATGGACACTTTAAGTTATTTGGAGTTTAGGGGTTTTAACTAGGAAAATAGACTGTATTTATGCCATTATTACAATATAATATATTCTTTGTGAGTCTAAAATCAGTCAGAAAATGAGTCCTCTCTCTGGTAGGCTAAATCAAGATTTTCATAAACATGAAGAAAAGACTTGAATTTTTATTTCAGATTAAACTTGTCTATCTGAATTTCCAAAAAGGGTATCTAACCCAAATATGCTGAATGCTTGATTGAAGAAAGCTAACTTAATGCTACAGTTGGATATACTTACATAGGCTTGAATTCACCTACATTTTCTGACTGTCTTGAGTTTGAAAGACTTTAAGTAACTGTATCAAGGAGCTTATTTTTTTGACAGTCAAACCAATTTGCATTAAAACATTACTTTAAGAAACCCTTCAACCACTATGCCCGGCTGAAAAATAAAAAATAAGACTTGAGAAGCACTTTCCTAGCAATATAAACAGTACTGGAGGGAATGACCAGAAGTATCTTCGGAGTAGGATTGTTTTCAAAAATGAACACGCAGGCATTCTATTCATAACAATGCCTGAAAATCATTCACGAAAATATGCTGCCTTTAACTTGGGCAGAAGAATTTGGTGAAGTTTTCTGGATTTTTTGTGTGTATGTTTTAAAGGTTTTCCTCTTTTCTTTTGTTATAACCATTGTGAAATCATGAACAATTTCTGGTGTTTTCAGGTGTGTATTAGCCACTGAGCCCCCTTTCATAACACAAACCAGCAGGAAGCTGGAACTCAAGTAAAGTTCTGAGTTGCAGCCTTGGCTAACATAATTATTTTCTCTTTTTCTGCTACCTGGAGCTGTTTTATTACCTGAAGATAGGAAGAAGTGCTACTAGAAGTTCACCCAGTAATTTAAAGATAGATAAGACTTTGAGAATATGATATCCTCTTGGAGCTATTCTCAACTTATATGAAGAGCAGTTGGTGGAGAATTCACCATGGTGATTTAATCCCTTGGGCCTTCTTGATCTGTGCAATGTGTAAGATGCATGATCTCAAACAAAGGATTTTACACCACTGACTTTTACGATTCCCTAGTTTAATTTTGTAGACAGTGGATTATAGAGCTAAAGTTAAAAAATCTCTTTAAAAGTAAATGGTGCTGTAGGACTTCCAAGCTATATGATGATGAAACTTCTCTACATGACAGCAGTGCACGGATTGTGCCTTGTCGCACCCAGAAAAGCAAAGGGTTTTTTTTTCTGATTGCTAGCTGAACTTGTGTTGACTTTTATTTTTTTTTGTTTGATTTTTTTCCAGCTTTCATTTGCAGCAACAACCCCAGAGTTGGCTGATAAGAAAAAATATCCTTATTTCTTCCGGACAGTGCCATCTGATAATGCAGTGAATCCAGCAATTTTGAAGTTACTCAAATACTATCACTGGAAGAGAGTAGGAACTTTAACCCAGGATTTACCAAGGTTTTCTGAGGTAAGATTTGCATAATTTCTCTTACACACAGAGAGCTACTAATATCAGATTTCTAAAGAGTCGGTTCCTCTATTAATAGCAATTAAATAAAAAGAAACAGACCCACTATATCAGTCTTGTTTGGCTTTCTCTTAGTAGGTCACCTTTTCTGTATTGAATAAGCTTAATTCCCTTCTGGGGTTTATTTGACTGTCTGTAGTAAAAAACTACCCACACCTTTACATGTCTGTTTTTTTACACCCAAGACCATTGCACCCACGTGCAGAGTCCCTTTATGTTCTTTGACTTGCAAAAATGTATGTTTTTGAAGGAGGCTGGTATCCTGACATTGGCTCACATAAAAGAGAGAATAAATCAAATTTTGTTGTGCTCCTTTTGTGCTCTGATTTCTTCTAAGCATCAATCTGAACTATGACAAACAAAATCTGGTAAGTCTATGGCTGAAAATATTGGGGGAGCTTACTGAGACAGAAATGACTGAGGCCCACAGAACTATTGTGATCACACACCATGCACTCCTAAAATCTGAGTTTCACCCTGACCATCATTTTGGTCAATGTAATGGTGGTAAAGTATTGACCAAGTGACTTAAGCATGGTTTTAACAATAGAGTAAAAGTAAACACCCTATAAGTAATTAATAACAAAAAGACAAGGGAAAGAGTCAGCCCATTAACTGACAGAGAGGCAAAACTAATAGAGGTATGCCTTGTTGTTTGGTTGTTCGTTTTTTTTATCTTCCTCAGCATTCATTTTAAAAAGGCTGACTGTGTTCTGAAGACCAGCCTAATTAAAACTAGTGAAGAGGGATAAGAACAGGTTAGAGTCTGCTTAGATGAGTAAAATATTTTCAAATTGTCTCACACAATTAATTCACTATGGAATACTTAAGAAATCTTAGACTCTTCCCTTATGAGCTTCAAGAATTAAAGGATGAAAAGTAAATGAATTGTAGAGGGAGGGAAGAAACATTTGTGTCTGCCTTTCCCAAAAATACACAAGGACCCAGGGAATTATTACGCCAGTCAGGTTAATTTTAATTCCTAGAAAGACACTCGAGCAGATAATCTGTTTGGAATTACACAGAAGATAAAAAGATGCTAAACAATGACAAAAATGGATTTGTCCAGAATAAATCTTGTAAAGCAATCTGATTTCCCTCTATGACAAGATAACAGCTCTCAAAGAGGTGTGATAGTGATAAGTGTGGTGTTTTATTACTTACAAAAATGTTAAAAGTGCTCCTAAAGAAAAGTAGGGAAACTTGATCTTGGTGAAGATAACTGTAAGAGCAGTCTAGTCTCTAACAAATATTGCTGCCACCAAAGTTAATTGACATCAAGTCAGTAAAATATTTGTTTTTAAAACAAATGCTGAAGCTAAAAGTCACCAAAAAGTATGGTATGCTTTACCCTTCTCTGTCTTGGAATTATAATTTCAGTGAGTAGTTATCAGTGGTTTACTGTCAAACAAGAAGGATGAGATTCTGTCAAGTAGTTTTCTCCAGAAAGAGATAAGGTTTTCTCTGGACAGTGGGATAGAGAAAATGTTTATTAAATTGCAGTTGATACCTACTTGGGAAAAGCTGAAAGTACTTTGCAGAGGACAGGATTAGGTTTCAGAATTATATTGATTTAACCCCAGCCAGCAGCCAAACCCAACACAGCCACTCACTCACTCACTCCCCCACCAGCAGGACTGGGGAGAGAATCTGAAGGGTAAAAGCTGGAAAACTCATGGATTGAGATAAAGACAGTTTAATAGGGAAAGCAAAAGCCGTGTGCACAAGCAAAGCAAAACAAGGAATTAATTTCACTGCTTCCCATGGGCAGGCAGATGTTCAGCCACCCCCAGAAGAGCAGGGCCCCATTATGTGTTAATGGTTACTTGGGAAGACAAACACCATCACTTCATCAGTCCTCCACTTCCTCCTTCTCCCCCCACTTTATATACTGAGCATGATGTCATATGGTATGAAACATCCCTTTGGTCAGTTTGGGTCACCTGACCCAGCTGTGTCTCCTGCCAACCTCCCATGTACCCTCAACTCTCTTGACAGCTTGGCACTACAAAAAGCAGAAAAGGCTTTGGCTCTGTGTAAGCACTGCCCAGTTACAACAAAAATATCTCTATATTATCAACCCCATGTTCAGCACAAATCCAAAACATAGCCCCATACAAGCTACTGTGAAGAAAATTAACTCTACCCCAGCCAAAACCAGCCCATTGATAAAAGTTATAAATAATACTTAAGTGAAAAAAATTACTATCTAGGCAGCAGATCTCCAGAGAAAGATATGGGAGACACTACAATAAACCACAAACTGAGTAAGGGTCAAGAAGTTCATAGTGCCTGACCTCTTGTAAAAAAATAAAAAAGAAAAACAAACAGCTCCCATTTCACCACACTAATGTAATGCAATATTGACATGACACACTGAGTAAACTTCAATGCTACTTAGCGTTCATTAGATGTAAGTTGGAACATCAGATCTAGTATCATCTTCAAGAAGGAAGCAGACCAGAGACACCTATAAAAAAGTTCAGTCATCTGGAAACAAGTTTAATGAGAACAATTAGAAGTGGAAAATAGTGGAATAGACAGGGTAGGTTTTTTAATCTTTCTCTTGTAGGGCTTTTTAGGATAAGACTAAACAAACACAATACAGCGATTCTTGGTCTTCCTTTGGGACAGAGGGATGGACTTCATGTGTATCAGGGTCACTTAAGAAGTGTTAAAACTGCAACTTTCAAAGGTTTGCAAGAGTGCTGCACTTGCATTCAAAGCCTTTCCATTTCTCTTGAAAGGTAATAAACAACCTTCTAAGTCAGACTGCAAACTCAATTTAGTGTGATTCATTAAAGCTTTCAGGTAAAGCAAGATCCAGTTAAAGCTTCCTTGAATTCTGATTATTATAGAGCATGTTGAGTCCTGGATCTTCAAAATGATTAGAGCTCAATCCTTCCTTTTTCAGCTCAATGCAGTTTCTCCCTTCCTCATGCAGACAGTGAAAGCACAGGAAGAAGTGAAGGAAACAATTAATTTGTTGTCTGGGATCAGTGAGGGATGGGAGCCACCAGCAACAGAGTAGGAGAGCATGTGGTGTCTGGGCAGAGCCCAGTCCCACTGCAAGGGAGAAAGGCAGACCCAGGGGTCGAGGCCAGTATCAGCCAAGCATTCAGACCATCAGGCAAGTAAGTCCATAGCATTGAGGCAGGTCCAAGGCCAAGCTGAGAAATCATTCCACAGGTCAGGATCAGGTCTAGTGGCTGCTGCACAGGTCTGTGGCAGAAACTGAAAACACAAGACTAAAAGGTGTGGGTGGAATTCCCAGAGGAAGGACCATCAAGGACTGTTTGTGGCCTCCTGGTGCGGGTATAAGTCTATACATCCACTGAAAACGTAATTTTCCCTCTAAAGAAATATCAGGCAAAACTACACTTCTAACATTTTTTTTGAAAGTGACAAAATAGTTGAAAAGCATCTAAAACTTCTCTCTTTGTTGTAAAATGCCCCTGAGTTTAGGATGTGATTGGTCTTATGTATACTGAAAATGCATTACAAAGCACTAAATCAGAAGTAACTGAATGTCATCTCTGTTACTCTCATTCGAAATAAAATAAGTAGAAATAAATTAATGGAATCTTTAGAAAAGCCTGTGTAGTAACTTGGGAGGTTTTAATCTTAGCAGCAAGACAGAGCAGTTCTCTCTCTCATTTTTCCATGTCCCAGAAAGACTGTATCAGTTTGACAGATCTCTTTTTTTTTTTTTAATCTAGAACAATTTGGATATCTATCTAAATTTCCTCCAGTGGTCCTTCCACCTAAGCACATACAGGAATAGATGCTTCTTTCTTATTCTTATTGTGCAGGGACTTCATACTCATGTAGTTTAGTCAACAGGAACTCTGATTGCATCTCTTCAACTCCCATCTAACTTAATTTTTGGGGGGGGGCTGACCACATTTTTCCTTAGCTGGATCACTGTCTTATCTCCTGAATAACTTCAGCTCATCTAATTTCTCTGCAAGTTAGCCGCTCCTCAAAGTCATAAAGCTTTTTGGTTTACGTTGCCTTGTAATGAGACAGTTGTCTCAATTGCTTAGATTATCAGTCTTACTCCAATATATCTCTGAAGGCCAAAATCACAGAGGATTTATTACTTCTACTTCAGTTGTTTCCTTTGGTAACCCTTTCTGCTGAGACTTTGCATTGTCATCCATTTCATTTTACTTGGTGACAAATCTTCTCTTTCTTTTTTAAAAACTGTTACATCTTTCTTATTCTCCAGGTTGCATAGGGAAATAAAGGATAGGTAGAGAGAATGGAGGAGTTTATGCTAATGTTTCAGTTCTTAAAGCACATGGGCAACATCTATACATCTCATACTGTTAGTGTGGCTCAAGACTCCCTTTCTTGGCATTACTTGAATCTCAAGGATTATGACTTTTCAAGTGACCTGAATTCTATGGCTGCCAATAGCTCAGCTCACTGTTAGCATTCTTTGTGAGTTCTTCAGGTCTGTTTGTACAGTGAGAATATCCCTTCCGTTGGATTAATTTTTAAATTGTGTAAGTTGACTTGGTATAAGGATAATATACACACTTCATCAGTTCTGTTACCTAAGTAGGACAGGCTCATACCTATTGTGCTTCTGTGTCCTAGATTTTATGGATTGCTGCCCTGTTCTCATCCTCTGGGAGAAGATTGTGTTTCAAAAGTTAATTCTGGGGCAAAGATTTATAAATGAGGTTACAAAATATTTTCAGGATTTTCAGCTTAAAAGTGTTTGCTGTATATAAACTGTAGGGTAATTGAGGCTGGAAGAGATCTTGAGAGGTCTCTCGTCCAAACTGCTGCTCAAGGCAAGGCTAACTTTAATATTTATCAACCCTGGAGAGTTGTAGCTGTTTGTCCTGGTTCCAACCAAGACAGGGTTGATTTTTGCAGTAGCCAGGAGGGGGCATGGGTGGGATGCATAGGTTATTCTATACCACCTC